CATTCTAAACATTTATTATACTACTCATTAGATGCCAGATATTTAACTTACATCAATCTTTAGTTTGAAAATGTTGCTTTATTTTGCTGTTGAATTCTGCCACTTATTTGCACTCTTTCAAATTGAAAGGTAATTTATTATAAACCTTTACAGCCTTAAAGAATACAAAATTTTGAGTAGATTTTTTATTTTTATGGTCTAATATAAAATTTTCTTTATTTCTTGTGTTATGATCGTGGATTTCTTTAAATGAACTCAACATATTTATGCAATAATCTGGAAGTAACTTTAAACAGATCTTATGAATAAATTTCAGACTGTTAATTTCTAGGAAGGATGTAATGTCTGCCCAGTTTACTCTTACTAACATGTTGTGTATACTCGTATACCTGTCGCATCCAAGTATGATCGTCATAGCTCGCTTTTGTAATATCTGCAATCGGTTCACATAAGATTTATTGGCCAAATAGAGGATTGTACCAGTATAATTAAAATGCGGTAATATTATAGTACTATAACTATTACTATTGTAATCGATTTAAATTTTATTTTCGTTTACTTCATCAACTATTTTCTTTGTCTTGTTGACTACGTGTGACTTTGTAATAGATAATATTTTATTTTCAGTTTGTTCCATTTAGTTATTGTTTATTACTATTTTAATTTTATATGTAAATATATATATATATATATATATATATATATATATATATATATATAATGTAAAAAACATATTTTCTACAATTTTTTCATTTTTCATAATAAAGACAAGGACTACCCAAATGTTCTGTAGGCTTTGAACGAGGGCAGGTGTCTTTACTTTCTTAGTTTTTGGGGGGTTTTATATGTTGATATTGTGAACAATACCAATATTAAGTCAGCAATCATCTTAATTTCACATTTCTTCAAAATTTTTCTTGCTTCAAATGTAGGCATAATTGAAAACATTTTTTCTTCACTGGAATACGTCACAGCTTCAGGTACCCTAATATACTGATGGTCAGAACCGAATGGGAAGTGTAGTAGGAGAAATATAGCGAGTTGTTAATTTACTCAATTTATTAACTTCGTATACCAAATTATTTATTCCTAGAAAATAATAGTGTTTACTGTGTACCAGAATTTTGCTCATTCTTGACGATATTTTATTGTTATTCTAGATTTTCTTTCATACTTATTTCCACAAAATTGAGTGACATTGTATTTTTACTGAAGAAGGATGCTCTATTTCAATGTATAGTCCTTACGCACCTATAATAACTAAATGATAATGAAATATATAGATATACATATATAGTCAACATTGAGACTCTTAATCGAAATATCAAAATATTTCAAATAATACTTTCAGGAGCTATCTACACAAATGTTGTCAACGAGAATGAGATCACTTTCGGGAGTAAATATTAAATACGTTATCAAACTTTTTGAATGGAAATATCAAACAACTCTAAATGAGAGGTAATAAGATATACTTGTCTAAAAATCACAAACTAAATTCTTTATTGGACTAGTTTCGCCCTTTACGGCTTCATCAAGAATGATTAATTCAAAACATTCTTGATAATGCCGTGAAAGGCGAAACCAGTCGAATAAAGAATTGTTAATTTGTAGCGATTTTTAGACAAGTATATCTTATTACCTCTTATTTAAATATGAACTATCACAGAGTTCATTCATCGTCCAATTTATCATACAACTGTTTCATCCTTATTAGGAATCATCAGTGATGTACATTCAAACAATCAAGTTTGGATGGTTTTTCAACGCCCCAGGTGTCATCTTCAAAATGAGGATAACATTTATTTGTGAACTAATCACGTGAGCTCCCTCTATCGAAGAAACGACAACAACTCTCTCGAGCATTCTAGATCGGTCTCTCCTGACAAGATCAGTGAGATTATGTAGAGGCTTTGTAGACGTTTCATTCAAACACCGAATGTATATATATATATATATATATATATATATATATATATATATATATATATATATATCTATATATTGATTCATATATGTATATATTTTTTTTTTTGTAGCAACAGTGGTGTGCAAGTAGTTGAGCAGCTAGATGTTGACACATTTAGGAGCGAACGTGCTATCTGCTTTCGAATGGCGATAATATAGCTCCACGCTGGAGAAGGAGTAATTAAAACTAAATTCACCCTTATGATATCTGTTTTCTTTTTTCATTTAATTAAAGTTGGATTCAATATCGCCAAAAGGTTCGAGGGAGAAAATGGGCGAACGCCTTTCCTCGCACTGATATTAGATAATTTGTTTTATTTTTCTTATAATCCCATCTCATTGGCCGTTTTGAACATGACAATTTTTGTTTCCAGCTATTGTTACTAAGGCGAACGTCTGTCTGTAATAAAGTCATTGCTGAAAGTTGGACCTCATCTGAAACAATTAACAAATTCTTCGTCCATCCCTTTTCGATTTTTCATCATTTCTGTATACAGACATATTGCTTTAGAGAGTTTGTTAGTTCCAGTTGCTCACTCAAGCAGTGCATCTTAACCCCGAAAAATGTGTTATTACAGAATTTCAATTTTGTTGGTTTTATTAGAAACTAGAAAATTCTTCAAGTTTCTAATTTCCTCATTACAGAGAGTTGTCCATGATACACTCCATTGGCACCATGGGTGTAATGATGCTTTTCAATATTTTGCTGAAATTTGTTTGTCTTTCATTCGAAATATTGCATAAGTAAAAAGCCTCAAGGCTCTTTGTACGCCTAGCTTACTGATGATTTTCAGCTCAAACTATAATGTTGGGACTGATGACACCAAGTTCTTTGGTATACATGCTGACTCTCGCGTTACTTGGACTACACGCATTGAAACCATTGCTGCAAGGTTGAGTAGAAGCATAATTTTGCTTCTTTGTTTGGTCTTATCTGTGTCGGGTGAAGTCTTAAGTTGGCATGTTTCTCTTTGCTTACGTCTGTATTTTGATATAGTTTGTTGGCGTGGGGTCATTGTTGTGGACCTACGTAGACCGTATTTAGAGTATAAAGAAAGGCAATTAGAATCATTTCACCCAAGGATTATAGAGCTTGTTGTGAAATAATTACAAATAAGTCTAGATCTATGGGTGGACGTATTCACGACTATGATGCCAGATGTAAATCTGATATCAGACAGAATTCCACCCGATTGAGCAGGTCCCACAATCGTGCAAATCACTGGTGTTGGAAATTTTTCAATGCTTTGACTCAAAAAATCAGCACCATATTTATCAATAAGTCCAGACCACTATTACAGAATATTCTAATAGAAAATATGTTTATATATTATATAAAATTAAACACAAGGCTTAATGTTTCACGATTCTATTCAACAATGTCAATTCCTCAACATGTTTCGAGCGTGAGCTCATCTTCAAGACAAAACAACAATGAGTTGTAGTTAAGTCTTGAAGTTGAGTTCACGCTCGAAACATGTTGTCGAATTGATATTGTTAAATATAATCGGGAAATATTAAGCCTTGTGTTCAGTTTTATTTATAATATTTAATTATCACTACATAGTATCAAACAAAGTCGCTTTCTCTGTAAATCTGTTATATCTTCGAAAATATATATAACATTTAAATCATATGCTGTAAAGGGCCATATAGATCTATATTGAATCAAAAATGTATTTGAGGTATTTAATGGGATAAGGAATGATGCAGTATTGCTTTAAATCGCTTCGAAAATTAGCCAGTTTTGTCATAAAAAGTAAAGGACAAAAAATGTTATTGTGGGTTATCCATAAGAGATAGACATATACCATAGCTGAGTTTTCTGTAGACCTTTTCAATGTGTACAATACTTAGTACATTATTTCGATAAATCTCGTAGGGTTCAGCCTGCCTTTGCAATGTACGCGAAAAAAATTAATTATTTACGACATTACATTAAAAACTTCAAGAACAGTATTTCTCCACTATTTAATGGATGTTAGTATACATATAAACCTTTCTCTTCAATCACTATATCTACTAAAAAAAACGCATCAAAATCCGTTGCGTAGTTCAATGATTTAAGCATACATAGGGATATAGGGACAGAGAAAGCGACTTTGTTTTATACTATGTAGTGATTTAATTATGTTACACCTAGAGCAAGAATTCATTCCTATTAAAGGAAATATGTTATAATGAAACAATATTTATGATTTTCTATTAATTTAATACAAATACGCATGATGACGTTTCGAAGTACTACTTCTTTATCAAATGCTGGATTAATACTCAAATCAATCCAGCATTTGTTAAAGAACCAATCTCAGTATTAATCCAGCATTTGATAAAGAAGTAGTACTTCGAAACGTCGTCATGCGTATTTGTATCAAATTATGAGAAAATTCTAAATATTGTTTCATTATGGATATTAATTTTCTCCAAGTATCGGCCTCATCAGTCATCAATTCGAAAATATGTTATTTAGTTTTACAGAGTTTTTTTTATAGACCTTTCCCAGTACGGTCAAAATGTTTTTCTTTGTTGATTTGAGCAGATAGATATCCTTATTGTTTTAATAATTGTATTTTATATTTTGACTTGTGTTAAACCAGTTATTCATATTCTATTGCACCAATGAACTAACATACTTACCGACTTACAGATGTTAAGTCCTTAACGCCAATAAACTCTGCCAGGAAAGTTTACTGGCATTCTTAGATTTTTGACTTTATTGTAGTTATATTGGTTAGAGTGTCTATGATATTCAATTTCGTGTTTTACTTCTTTGGGCTTTTCCGGGAAGATTAAAAATATCAATACTAACTAACAAGAACACTTTTCATTTTTATGAATGTAAATTAACCTATCCCACAGTACCCCACAGAATATTTTAAAAATTATACAGTATAATTAAATCATTTCCTCAATTTTCTCATTCGACATTTGTTGCGAGGTCATTGAAAAGAGTTTTCACATCTGATTCAAACTAATAACAATATATCTAATATAAACTATACTTGTTATAAATTATAACTGATATTATGCCGGTCTCCGTAGTTTAGCCGGTAGAACACCGGCTAATGGTGCGGTAGAACTCGGGTTCGAGCCCCGCTGAAGGCATGGGTGTTTGTGTTCGTCCATGATTTAATGAAAGATATATGCTATGTAATGTGAACTGATTACAAGCCCAATGGCCGTTCGGAACTGCGTTAAAGTGTAGGTCCATTGAATTAAAAAAAATAATGTTATCAATATGACACATATCATGAAATATTATTCCTGAAATAATATTCATGTCTATAAAAAGATAATTTTTGATTCAGCGGTCACAGCAGACTTTTCATTTTGTAGTAAAAATTTCTTATGGTCTTCAATTTTTATCGATATCTCTCACAGGTGTTTTATCACAAATACACAACATACACAATATTCCAGAATTATATTTTGTGAACAAGTATAACTACTAGTTGAAACATCTCCTTACTGTGCATATACAAGAAACAATATACGTACCATTCTCTAACGGCAAGCGCTCACTTCCATCAAATGAACTACATATAATTAACGGAAAAGATGAAACTTTCAACATACTATGTACGTATGAGTGCAAATATCTAGAAATAGTGCTAGATTGACATCTCAGATGGTACTCAAAATTAGAAACTTGATCACCAGATTCAAACTACTCTCTAGTATGGTTGATGTAAATTTGACATTTGACAATTATTTAGTAGTTACTGACAGATTGATTATATATTGAATCGTGGCTTAGGATGTTTTCGATCAACCCACATCACAAACTTCTAAATATATGGGATGTACGAAAAGTGTATCTCATATCATTTTTGAATTTCACAAAACAAAATATAAATAGAAATGTTTTCGATCATCACTTCAGCACAGGGTACAATCGAATATCACTACTTATACTAAAATATGAAGAAATTATTTATCTTCGTTGCTGCTCCTTCAACGGACCAAAAATATAAAACAAACCGCCTCTAGAATAAAAAACCACAAATAACTTGAAACAAATTAAAATGGAAACAAAAAATGGATGAAAAATATAAGTCGATCCTACATTATTATGGGTTGATAGATGTCAAAATTTGATTTCAAACATTCAAATTAATTTTATATCTGATATTTGCAATTCTTCTTTCACGGCGAATTTCAACAATTCATGTTATTATGCAATTCACAATAAAGCTAATTCTTCATCTAACAATTGGATTTAGTTTGTGTAAAAATATATTATTTGGATTATGACTTAATATAGTTGATTGTATTTCTCACCTATGTATTGTTTTATTCACAAAAGCTTTATGAACATTTAAAGAAATAATAAAAACATTTTTGTGAAAGCTCACTACTGGCTTTGGCCCTTGTGAGATTATGTATATATTTTTTTGGGGAATTCTGTACTGAAATATTCTTAAGTCAAGAAGAATTATTTGTGTCTTTCATACACTTCTTCACATACTTTCAATGTGAACCCATACCTTAAATAAATATGTTAATATATTATGTAAATATCTGCAGATAATACAGGAGTATCAGTAAAAAAGATTTTAAAAATATTTCATTTCGGGTGTTCTTTATATCTAACAATAAAGGTTGAATACGTGGCAAATTCGTAATAAAAACTGTATTTCAGATGACATTATTGGAGCAAACAATTTTTTACAACCGAAAAACAATAAAGTTTGCGTGGGGATTAGCTATAACGCTTTCGTATTAATTAACCAAGAAACCGACTTTCAAAGTATTCTTGTTTTTCTCTCTCTCGAAGAAGGAAATTAAAACGAAGGAAACAAATTGCAGCAGAGTTTTAGCCGCAGTTACGAAAGAAACAAAGGCCAAGTTATTAACTAATAATGGTTAGAGGAAAATCTCTTTTCTTTAAATACAATTTAAAACGGTTTTTGTTCCAGGCCTCCACCTTGGAGTACGATTTAGCCAGAATGAAACTTTATAACCGAAATTAGGAATAGCAGAGTTCACGAATTCGAAACTTTCAGTAAAAATACACCTGAAGAATAAAAAGAAATATAGGAAAACAATTTCCTGTTTATGATTTGTAGAAAACTTCATTACTGAATCTGCTTGCCAGCCTCGATATAAACTATTGAAATTTGTGTGCCTTGGGGAAATTATAAAGTTAGAACAGCAAAAAGTTGGATAATCTATACAAATAATATGTGGTGGTTTGAAGGCATAACTCCCCAGAACTCATTCAACCCTCAGGTATACCAAATTTTCCAAGATGTGAAGGTAAATCTATTACGATGGAAACATGAAAATAAATTTCTATATGAAATGCGTAAACGAGTTAATACTTCGGAAAGAAAACAATGTGCAGCATCAGATGAAAAACAATTTTTTCATGTTTCATTAAGCTGTGACAAATAAAAAGAGAGGGAAAATACCACTATATGAACCAGAACTTGACGTGAATTATGTTCCTTTATGTGAGATATTATGATCAATTCAAATAATATCAATATAAAACCACAAATACTATTAATTGTTCCGAGTGTCAATATATATATATATATATATATATATATATATAAATAATATTTGATGCGGAAGAAAATTAAAATGAAATTGAAGATTATCGACATATCCTGTAGATTGGTAGCAGCCGTTGACACGTGTTTCGAGCTAATTGGCTCTCCTCAGAAAGGGAGACTATATTTATATTCAACTCTGAATATATTTTTCAAATTACATATTCCCACATTTATCTAACTGTTCTTTGACTTTTATTGGTTGATAATGAGCTCAAAAAACTTCTTACACTTTGATAACATCCACTGTTTCATTTTTTTTTAAATTTCGGGATTACAGATTTTTCAGGCTTAGTGGTAGAGCAGTATAAATTATACAGCTCTAAAAAGGCAATATAAAGTACAAAAGTAGGGAAACCTTCGAAAAATATATGAGTAGAGTTAGAGTTATTTCTATATATCAGAGTTACAGTTGGAGTTTGTAATTTCAAATAACTATCTACAGAGCGGACACGGTCGATATAAGATATTTGACTAGATTCACTTAATATGTGACATTTGGACCACCCTATAGTTACATAATTGAAATAGACATTCCGCTGAAATTTACATGTATCACAAAAAAAAAGTGATATAATTCCTTGGAGTTGCTCTGATGTAACATAATGATTCTGAACGATTCTTGAAATTCATTTTTTGCTCGATTTCTTACCGTTACGTGCAGCGTTCCATAAAATGTACATATTTTCCTTTGAATAAAAATATTTCCACTTCAAGTGTTGACTGACATTATGCTGATCGATAGAAAGAAACAAAACGAGTTAAGCGTGTTGAATTTCAAGTGGCTAGAACTGTCAATAAACCCGTAAACATTACCTGAGTAGGGAAAGAGGGTTACCGTTCGAAGATTTTCAACAGATGTCGATAATATATTGCATGATTTGGGTACTTACTGTTCCATTCCAGTCCCTTTCGAAATTGTAGGCTTTCTGAATTCCCAGTATATCTGACAAACTACTTGACTTACCCTCTTTAGGCAATCGACTTCAGACCTTTTCATAGAAACATAGCATTTAGAATTTAGCATTTACTCCTTCAACTATGCATGAATACAAATTCGAATGAAATAATATTTCGTGGATTTATGCAAATAATACAAATTGAAGTCTGTTTAGTTTCGAAATAATAGAATACTATCGAATGCATATCAAAGAATATACGCTATTTATAGTCATAATGAACTTTTAAAACTTGCACCTATCTTTCTGTTACGACTAACGGAAAAACTGAACTAATATGACCCAATTTTCACTGGCAGCAAGACGATTTTATGAGAAAAAACTGAAAAAAACCATAAAATCGTGAGGTGACAAGATTTGAACGAAAAACAATAAAAAGATGAAGACAAAATGAAAAATCTACCCACAACAGAAATAACTAAGCTCACTTAAGTATTTCTTAACGAAGAATACAAAATCATAAATTTTGATGAAGTCTAAAAAAAGAAGATACTTTTTTCGTTGGAATAAAGCGGTGGAATTTCTGGGAAATAAAAAGAAATCAATATTTTCAAAGCCTACTGTAATTTTACAAGATTTTTTCTCTGTATAATGTGTGAAATGAACTATCTTTTTCACTATAATCATTGAACCGTTGAAAGAGTTTGCTTCACACCTATCAGTACTGCTGAAAGAATCTGATTGAAAGTGACCTGTCTCATCGATTTTTAACATTATATTATGGAAATGACGCATGATATCTATAATAAAATTTCAATCCTATTTATTTATGAAATTATGAATTAATATTACAAATACACAGTAAAAAGTAATATTTGAAGTAGAAATCAAATCAGACAACTTGATAGAGTTTCGATATCGAGTATTATTCGATAGAGTAATATGGGAAAAGTAGAAGGGTTGTTTTTTGCTTAGTTTTCAATCTGACACGTAAAGACTTTCGGACAGAAAAATCCAACACAATTAATTTTCGATATTAGGACAATCTCGGAATTGATAGATTTCATCTCTTTTACTGCTCTCTTCGCCTCAATCATCTTACAATATTGGCAATAAACACATTGAACTTGCTTTCAAAATATCGATCCGCATACTTTTGTAACAATGCGGCAAACTTCGAACCAGCATTCTATAACATATGACCCAGCCGTATTAAGTAACAGGTGGCTAAGATCGACCTTTCATCGCCTACTACGAATATCATGGCTTGATCTTTAAACTGATATGATTGGCTAATTGGTTTACTAATACTTGAGGAAAATATAACAACATATTTGAAATAAAACTGGCTTAGTTATGCTATTTTCACTATAGGGTTGAAATATAACAACTGTTTTACACACATACACTAAATCATGGATTCCCAAAATGGTCCAGTTGGAACCCCAGAGGTCTACGGAAGACTCAACGGGGGTCTACGTTGGCGCGACAAAAAAATGGGGTTTCACAATTCGTGAGCGGGGGTTCATGATAATTCATCTGGTTTCAATGAAGAAGAAATAATATGTTAGCTTAACCAACCTATTAAAGACGATAATAACTATAGGATAATTCAAACTTTGAATCAAACTGTTGTGTTGAAATCATA